TCTTTTCATACCATACTGTACTTTTCTTTGTTTCAAATTTTTTTGGTTTTAAAAAAAAAATACATATGGTTCAGAACGGATTAACCATATTTACATTGAACCTTATGGGAAAATTTGATTCGGTTCGCGACCAGAGTCGTGGAACGAATTAAGTTTGTGAACCGAGGTACCACTGTATTTTAACATTCTCTTGCACACATTTTGGTATGCAGTTTTGGGGTTAAGAACCTCAGCACAAAAATTGGAGATGATATCTGTGTGCCAGTCTATGTATTAGTGTGGGAAGATCATTTTGCTTAGAAGTGCAGACAAAATAAAATTCTAATTTCTACACTCCTTTCAGCATTCTAACAGGACATATCAAATCTACAATTGTCCAAATGTTCACTGAATAATCAACTACCTTTATGTTTCAGTATATTGGGACAAAACAAATGTCTGATATACAAAAAAATCCTGTTATAACTAACAATATGAGAAATTTGTAAGAAGGAACTGTATTAAAAAAAGTAATTGAGGCAGTTGACACAGCGTAGCTTCATAGTGTATTAATAATAACTGATTGAAGTAGGCATATATTTTTCATCACAGCAAAAGAATAAACTGCAGTTATGTTCAGTGCAGATGGATCACACATTTATTAAATCATTTGAGGCACTTCCCACACTATTTTTTTTTACAAAAATTACTATGTGAAACAAATTAGCTAAAAAAGGGATAGATAAAACTGCAGGAGAAAATTTGAGGCTTGCAAAATAGAACCCCAGTACAGGTAATCCTTGACTTACAACCATTTGTTTAGCGACCATTTGAAGTTATGATGGTGCTGAAAAAAGTGACTTACAGCCGGTCCTTGCACTTATGACTGTTGCACCACCCCCACAATCAAGTGACCAAAAGCAAAATCAATGGGGGAAGCTGGATTTGCTTAATGTCCAAATGATTCACTTAACAACCATGGTGATTTGCTTAACAACCACAGCAAAGAAGGTTGTAAAATTGGGTGCGGTCACGTGATGCCTTGCTTAATGACTGCACCACTTAACGATGCATTTTCCAGTTGTGGCTTATTGTGGTCATAAGTCGAGGACTACCTGTAACATAGGGGTGTATTGTATTTTTAAGAAGTATGCTTGTTTTTAAAGATTCAGATAGATGTATTAGGCCATTCATATTTAAACGCTTGCCAAACTTTTAACACAATATCATTTTTCTACAGGTTAATGAATATTATTTGATTTACTTGAAAATTAAAGTCAATACTGACTTGAGGGCATTTAGCTGCTCTCAGTAATAGTATTTGATTAAGTCATTGTCAACTCTTAGCAATCACATAAATTTACTGAATTGTTGTTGCTGCTGTTGTTATTGTCACAAATCTAGCATTTCTTTTGCATTTTTACCAATAGCCTTTCTTTATACTGCCCAACATGGGAAAAATGGTTGGCTAATCAGTTGTATGAATGATTCCTGGGAAAATGTTAAGAACAATGCTTAGAGAAGTGGAGAATGCTTCCTAACATCAGAAGAATATAATTTTATATTATTTTTGGCTGTTAGTAAAGAGCAAATTGAAATTTGAAAGAAAACTGTGTGCTTCAACATACACCAGCATTATGCTTTTTGCCTACTAGATATATAACAAATGCTCCCATCTTACTCAGGAGCAGCCTTCCAACTTCATTCTATACATTTCCTTTTACCAGGTTTAAAATCTGGGAACTCCCCAATTCTACTGTTTGCATTTGTACATTGCTTATTTAAAGGAAGGTAATGCACTCATGAGAGCTGGTTTGGCATAGTGGTTAAGGCACCAAGCTATAAACTGGGAGACTGTGAGTTCTAGTCCCACCTTAGATCCAAAGCCAGCAGGGTGACCTTATGCCAGTCACTCTCTCTGAGCCCAAAGAAGAAGGTAAGGGCAAGCCACTTCTGAAGTCTTGCCAAGAAAACTGCAGGGATTTGTCCAGGCAGTCGCCAGGAGTCAAGACTGACTGGAAGGCAGAAGGAGGGAGGGAGGGAGGGAGGGAGGAAGGAAGGAAGGAAGGACTCATACAACACAACCACACCTGAGCACTCCCCTACTTTGTTCAAAGCTGACTGTCAAACCAATAGTGGGTATATTATCTGGGCAGCTTACGGGCTGGTGAGTCTCTTTCAAAGGATATTTGCAGTACTTCTAGTAAAGTGTTTTAGCAGCTGCCATATGTGTGTTCCTTCATCCAAAACAGAAACCAAGAGTTATGCTCTAGCAACTTTTCTTTTAACGGGTATGTATGTGTGTCAGACAGAATATACCCAAAGACTTAATGAAACACACATACAACCCCCATATCACAAGTGACATTTCCAGGTGATATACAGCTCTCTATACAGTATGTCATTGGAAAACTCAGGGTGGACTCAATTGCTATTCTGTTTTCTGACCTAAGGAACACACTGGAAAGGCTTATGATACAGTTTAATAAACCTGCTTGGTAGTACTCGTACCTCCCAAGCTTATGAGAACTCTTGTTGCAAGTATACATGGCTGATATGTTAAAACATCCTGCACTTTATTCATCATTGTGACTTAGCAAGCCTAGCTTATATAAAGCTAAGTTTTGACTTTTTCAATGTCAAATTATATTTTCCAGGACCAAATACAACAGCTTTTTTGATAAACAGGAACAAAATTGCTGTAGCAATAGTTGCTACAGTAGACAGTATTTTTCTTAACAGTTAAGTCTGTTCTTTAAAAACCATATAGTTCTTAATATTTTGTTTGGAAAAAAACCCTTGAAAAACTATTTCTCTTTGTTATTTTTACATGTCTTTTGCAACCATTTTTCCCCTCCTGGAAGGGATCTAATTAAAGCACGCTGAACTGAATAACCATTATCAACTATTCAATAGTCTTATTCTAGAGATTCAGCTACAATTCATCAGTGCCACAGCATATCAGTACAGATGGGATAAGCTCCTGAATCAGCAGCAGCAGCAACAGCAGCATCTTGAACAAAATCAATCAATACTAAATCACAGGAAAAAAGCCCAGAATATATATATATATATTTTGCTTTATATGGATAACCTAAAGCTACATGGTAAATCAAAAGCTGAAATTGAGTTTCTGCTGGTCGCAGTTTACTGAAGACAGGGGAATGAAATTTTGCCTGGACAAATATGCTAGTTTTGCAATTAAAGAAAGCAAGATTATGGGAGAAGATGGGCTACAGCTAATGAATGAAAATCCCATTAGACATCTGGCACCTGAGGAATACAACTACTTATAACTAATGGAAGCTATTGATTCATTGCACAATGAAGTCAAAAAGACTGTGTCAAATGAGTCTAAAAATGTTAAAATCTAAATTAAACGATGGAAGTATTTTTAAAGCTATAAACACTTGGGCAGTCTCCACATTTAGATATACTGCAGGTATACCTGATTGGACCCAAGGAGAATTGGATAATCTTAATTGGAAAATAAGGAAACTAATACTTCACTTAAGAAATGACATTCACAGATTATATGTATCCAAAAATAGAGGTGGTAGAGGCCAAACCGTGGAAAGAAAAAAAATGTCTGAATTATTACATCAAGAAAAGTAAAGAGGCTGTACTTATGTGAGTTTGTAAGGAA